GTTATTGTTAGAAGCCAGTTGCACAGTGACATGCAAGTACCGGCAGCGTGGTTAGCTACCAGCTGTCAGAGTAACTACATTCTGAGCGCTAGGAAGAGGATCTACTCATGGGAGCAATGACTGACGAGTCTGTACCTCGCCAATGATTAGAAGGCCAGCCAGAGTGAAGCTCTGTGTGCTTGGCGATCCTCTATACTCTCTGAGCATTGGAAGTCCACCGGCAGTGGAAGGGACTATGCCTGGGAAGTCTACAATAAGCAAAAGCCCTACAGCAATGATTAAAGCTTACACATGAGCGGCAGCTCATTCATGAAGGCCCCAGTTGTGTGGCAACAAAGGCTGCAGGTGTTACAAAGGCTTTGACTAAGGGTGGTTGCCTTCGGAACCAGGAGCACTCGCTGACGGTTAGAGAGAAACGGGGTAGCGATGGAATTGTTTCCTTTCCCCTAGAAGGCAGCACCGGAACTTAGTAAGGAAGTAGGAGCAGAGAATAGAATCCTTTGGAGTATCAGTACTCAGGATCATTCGCGCACAACTGTCCAAGAATCTTGACCTCATCGGTAGCAGAGACCTTAAAGATTATTGAGTTCTAGCGATAGTATCTTTGACTAAATCTGTACCTGATTTCTATCTTGCACGGCCGCATCTATTTGATTGGATTCTAGCGATACATAGATTGGCTGCCCCCGTTACAGGGTAGTCCATGTAGCTTCCAAACATTAACGATATATAGCCTCGCTACTTCCTTTGAATCTACCTCTTTAGTCATTGGTATTAGATGTCGCATTTTGGTTAATCTATCAACAACAACTAGGATCGCATTATATCTATCACTCTCAGGGAGATCAGTAACAAAATCCATCGAGACATCCGTCCATGGTCCATCGGGTATTGGCATAGTGCGAAGTACTCCGTAAGGCGCACTGCGTGGTGCCTTGCAACGGACACACACATTGCAATTCCTGACATATCGATCGATATACTTTCGCATTTGAGGCCAATAATATTCCCGACTTAAGAGTTTCAATGTCTTTGCTCTACCCGGATAGCCCGCCGATGGTTTCTCATTATATTCTTTTAGGAGCCTCAGCCGGAGGTTATTGTCATTTGGTACGTAGAGTGCGCCTCGATACAATTGACTACCTTTGTTGTCTTCAGTACATTCGGCAAGTTAAATTTCATTTGAATGGCGAACGTCCCTCCGAAGCATAACGAGGATTCCGTTTGGGAAACTATTGACTTGGTAAGCTTTTGAAAATAATTCCTCCACAGTGGGCATTCCTTCAGTGGATTCATTTGGCGAACAAACTTAGCTTTGCATCCAAATTTTTTCGCTTCAGAACCACTTGGCTCTGATGTGTTAACCGTTCATCCCCCTCTTTACTTAGGTCACCTAACTTTCTAGTCAATGCATCTGGTTTCTCTCCTTGTTTCCCCGGTCGAAATTTTATAACGAAATAGAAACGTGAAAGGAATTCAGACCAACGAGCTTGTCGGCGGTTTAATAATTTTGTCGTCATGAAATACTCTAGATTTCGATGCTCGCTGAAAACTTCAATAGGAAATTGTGCTCCTTCCAGATGATGTCAACACTCTTCAAAACATCGCACAACTGCTAGAAGTTCTTTGTCATAAATTTCATAGTTACATTCCGCAGGGGAATGTTTCTTGGAAAAGAAAGCGACCGGATGTAAAACTCCTTCATTATCACGTTGCGAGAGAATTCCTGCCGAAACATAGTCGGATGCTTCAGTTTCTACCACAATCTTTCGATTTGGGTTGAAATGAACTAGTATAGGTGCTGTTGTGAACAACTTTTTTAAGGTTTGAAATGCTTCCTCCCTTTCATCTGTCCATTCGAATTTAACATTTTTCTTCGTTAGAGCTGTAAGCGGGGCAATAATCCTTGAATATCCTAAAATGAACTGTCGATAAAAGTTTGCAAATCCCAAAAATACCTGAACATCATGAAGATTCGTCGGTGTGGACCATTCTAGAACATCAATAACCTTCTTCGGATCCATCTTGTTGCCATTCGGGGTAAGGATTAGGCCAAAGTATTTTGTTTCTTGAACCATGGATTCGCATTTTTTGGGTTTGAGATGAACATGATTTTCACCAAGTACTTTTAGAACTTTTCGGATATGATCCTTGTGTTCTGCAAGGGACTCGGAATAGATAAGGATATCATCTAAAGAAGCCGTCACGAATTGATCGAGATAGGGACGTAGGATGTCATTGATCCAATATTGAAATGTAGCAGGAGCATTCGCTAATCCAAAGGGCATTACCGTATATTCAAAATGTCCATATCCAGTCCGGAATGCCGTTTTCCATTCGTCTCCTTCCGCTATCCTAACCTGATTATATCCCCAACGTAAATCCAACTTGGTATAATATTTTGCTTTCGACAATTTAGACAAGGTTTCCTTCAATAACGGCAATGGGTAACGATTCTTAATTGTAATTGCATTAAGGCCCCAATAGTCGACACATAAACGAAGAGTTTCATTAACTTTTTTAACACATAGTATAGGCGCTCCCGCTGGCGATTCACTATGACGGATAATACCCTTGGGTAGATTTTCTTGAAGGTAATCCCAGAGTGCCTTCAACTCAATTTGGGATAGAGCATATATTGGTCCCCATGGTGGTTGTTTGCATTCTTCTAGTACTATTTTCATATCATGAAACGGTCGATGTGGTGGAAGGATTGAAGCATCATATTCTTCAAACATGTGGATATAGCGATGGAACTTTTTCGGTATCAGTTGTTCAATATCGATGGTCGATTTCTCAGTCGCTGAAACGGTAACGGTATGAGTTTCCGGTAGGGAAATCGATATGCCATGAACCGTAATTGCAGTTCCACTAAGCAAACAATGTTGACAGCAGCTTCGAGAGTCAAAAATAAGCAAATTCTCCTTTGGTCGAATCGTAACGTCATGGCGTCGCATCCAAGGTATTCTCATCACAATCGGATAATGTCCGAACTTTGTCACAAAACATGACGCAGTCTCTCGATGGCCATGAATGTCTAGCGAGACATCAACAATATGGGTAATCTTTCCTGACTTGATAGGTCTGCCATCTATAACGTCTACGTGGCGAGGTATTTTGAGTGGGGTCATGGTGAGATTGTTATGGCGTGCAAAAGATTCATCAATGAAAGCATATCCTGATGCTCCAGTATCAATAAGGGCGGAGGTGGGTACAAAAGTATTTTTATTCTGTGAAATTGAACAAGTTACTACAAATTAGTTCCCATCCATTTCCTCCTCTGATACCTAAAAACCAGAAATATGCATTTCAGAAAATCCTTAAATGGTCCCTGGGCTAAGCCACTTAGTGCAGAGACAAATCTTTTGCCGACTTGTTATTACTTCCATCGTTTTCCTCTACTCTCAATGCCACTCCCCTCATTACCGGTCTCCTTGGTTGGTTCCCAGTTGCCCTTGCTTGGGGGAAATCTCTAACCATGTGTCCAACTCCTCCGCAATAGAAATAGCGGCCCTCAGCTAAGCGGGCGTTTCTTTCGGTAGGGGTATGGCGACGACGTCCCCCAAACAGATCCATCGGTACATTACCTCCCAGGCGGAATGAGGGATGGTTCTCAGTATTAGGTACATTGGCAACTGGGGCAACTGCACGGGGAGCAGGGGCAGGATTCGCTGGCGGGGGACATGGGGCCGGAGCAGTAGTAGTATTCTAAGGCTTTTTACTTCCTCACTTAGCTTCTGCTGCCCAACGGCGATTATCCAACCGTTGCAAGAGCGTCACACATGCATCTACCGTCGCAGGAGTCTCATGATGTATCATTGATTCGTCGAGTTCCCCATTAATGCCCTCCATTAAAGCTTCATCCGAGAGACTTCATCCATCCCTGACTCGGCAGCGTACCTTTGAAATTCAGCGAAATAATCAGCAAAGGTTCTATTTCGTTGGCGGATGTTCCTGAGATTCCTCCTAGCCGTACGCATTCGTTCAGGGTCCCCGAACGCAGTATCTAGCATTTCATAGAACCGTAACATGGAAGGCAAAGCAATGCCCTCTTCCCCGATGTATTGTAAAAACTGATTGGCGGCGACACCCTCCAGTCGACTGAATGCATAGGATAGCTTAGATTGTAGTGTGGGGAACCGGTCGGCATTTCCCAATAGCTTAATCCTCATCTGTTGCTTGAATAGGTGTAATCTTTCTCGATCGCGATCTCCCTGAAACACCTCAGGATCTGGGTGTAACGGGGGCAGCCTATCTATGTATCGCTAGAATCCAATAGAATAGATGCGGCCGTGCAAGATAGAAATCAGGTGCAGATTTATTCAAAGATACTATCGCTAGAACTCAATAATCTTTAAGGGCTCTGCTACCGATAATGGTCTGCTCGAAGATGAGGATCAGGTCAGTTGGGCGGGAATGATCCTGAGTACTTATACTCCAAAGGATTCTATTCTCTGCTCCTACTTCCTTACTAAGTTCCGGTGCTGCCTCCTAGTGGAAGGGAAGCAATACCATCGCTACCCCGCTTCTCTCTAAGCGTCAGCGAGTGCTTCCGATTCCGAAGGCAACCACCCTTAGTCAAAGCATTTGTAACACCTGCAGCCTTTGTTGCCACACAACTAGGGGCCTGCATGAATGAGCTGCCGCTCAGGTGTAAGCTTAATCATTGCTGTAGAGCTTCCGCTTATTGTAGACTTCCCAGGCATAGTCTCTTCCACTGCTGGCGGACTTCCAATGCTCAGAGGATGTGGAGGATCGCTGAGCACTCAGAGCTTCACTCTGGCTAGCCTTCTAATCATTGGCTAGGCACAGACTCGTCAGTCATTGCTCCCATGAGTAGATCCTCTTCCTAGCGCTCAGAATGTAGTTACTCTGACAGTTGGTAGCTAACCACACTGCCGGTACTTGCATGTCACTGTGCAACTGGCTTCTAACAATAACTCTCAGCATGTAACCGGGCCCTGTGTGTACTCATACACCAGACAGTTGAAATGGCTCCGTTACACTGGGAGCTTTTCCGACCGTTGGGTAGTAGTCGTGACAAGTGTTACTGGAGACACAGGTGGGGCATCATCGCCACCAATTGGTTCTTCATCAGGGGCAATCACTTCCACAGCGACCCGTTGAGCTCGAGCAGGAACAAGGTCTCGCTCAAACATCTCTCTTGCATTTCCAGCCTCCCTCTCCACCTCCTGTAAGTCCGTAGCATACTGAGCAAGACCATGTTGGGCCCGTTGAAGAACTGCATAAGCTGCTATTCCGACAGTGTTATCAACCTGTGGGTGTTCTTGAAAGAAGGTTTGAAGGGTGTCGCTTAGTTGCTGGTAATCGATAGGAACGTGTTCCGACATTATAAACTATAGTATTGTATTGGTTGGCGATAGAGAATGCAACCTAATGTAACGGGAATCTATGGGCGTAGGGACTATAGTGCCAGGGAATACAACCGAAGCGAAGACGTAACGATAGGTATTCTTGACTATGGACTATGGGGCGGCTCTACCTGGTATGACATACCGGTTGAACCCTGTGACCAGGTGTAAAATAGAAGGTAGTATTCATGGAGTAAATACAAAGATTGCATGAGGAAAAGAGGAAAGGAAGGATAACATGAAAAGGCACGAGACAACGCCTCCTTATATATCCAACTCCTAGTCCGTTGATGACTAATGCCTTGCGTAACGGAAACCAAAAGAACATAACAGAAAACCCATTACAAATCCTAGTCCAACTGCGCAGTATCTTTTCTTCGCGATCCAATATATCTCTCCAATCAAGATATACTATTGCCATTATAAAGCAGCAGAGGGGTGTGAGGGGGCCGGAGGTCTCATGAACTGTGCCATGGAGGCCAGGAGTTCTTTCTATTGTTTCTCCAACTTCTTCCTGAGGTATCTCCGCCATCCTCTTCTATCTCCATCCTCAGGCTCCGAGTCTGAACTGTCTGAGTCCCCTCCTGCGTTGGGAGCGCCACCAACCGGGGGGACAATTCCATCTCCTCCAGGAAGTTAGGGGGCATCGCAGGGCTTGTCCACTCAATGTCTTCCATCTCATCCGCTCCTAAGTCATCTCTCTGGGCATAACTCTGGAGTTGTGCCTGGACTGAGGAGACTTGGTCTCGCATGCGGCCAAAGGCATCCCTGAGTAGGACTGACTCCGCTTCTTGTCTTTCTTGCAGCAAGGCTAGCGCATTACCGGCCTTGATGACTTCCTCTTGGAGGCTGTGCTGAAGGTAGCGCTGCAACTCCGCAAAGAAGTCCTGTAGGGTGACTTCGTCGGTATCTTGCCAGGTGGGCTCACATCCGGGGATGTAGGATTGGAGCGCCGTCCTGGGCTTGTGGATCAACTGTGTCTGACTCTCTCGGAATCTTAAGGCTGCCGGTTGCCATTCAATCTGAAGAGTCACTTGGGGAGCTGGGAGAGCGGACATGTTGTAAGAGGGAGAATAATCTGAAGGTGACTTGAGCACTAAAGATTATCACTAACGGGGCCAGTCTTTCCACGTATCGCCAGAACCCTATAACGGGGGCTGTCCTTTCTATGTATCGCTAGAATCCACAAGAATAGATGCGGCCGTGCAAGATAGAAATCAGGTGCAGATTTATTCAAAGATACTATCGCTAGAACTCAATAATCTTTAAGGGCTCTGCTACCGATAATAGGAGATGATTCTAATGATGAAGATTCCGGGCCAGGACAGTTGGGCGGGTATGATCGTGAGTACTTATACTCCAAAGGACTCTATTCTCTACTCCTACTTCCTTGCTAAGTTCCGGTGCTGCCTTCTAGCGGAAGGGAAGCAATACCATCACTACCCCGCTTCTCTCTAAGCGTCAGCGAGTGCTTCCGGTTCCGAAGGCAACCACCCTTAGTTAAAGCCTTTGTAACACCTGCAGCCTTTGTTGCCACACAACTGGGGCCTGCATGAATGAGCTGCCGCTCAGGTGTAAGCTCAATCATTGCTGTACAGCTTTCACTTATTGTAGACTTCCCAGGCATAGTCCCTTCCACTACCGGCGGACTTCCAATTCTCAGAGGATGTAGAGGATCACTGAGCACTCAGAGCTTCACTCTGGCTGGCCTTCTAGTCATTGGCGAGGCATAGACTCGTCAGTCATTACTCCCATGAATAGATCCTCTTCCTAGCGCTCAGAATGTAGTTACTCTGACAGCTGGTAGCTAACTACACTGCCGGCACTTGCATGTCACTATGCAACTGGGTTCTATCAATAACTCTTAGAATGTAACCGGGCCCTGTATGTACACATACACCAGACAGTTGAAATGGCTCTGTTACACTCGAGAAGCCTGGTTAAAGAGGAAGCGGGAGAGACTCAAGAGGAGAAATTGAGGCGGAGAGTTCTCCAGAGAGTGCCAGGTTACTCCGCAGGCTCAACGGGTTAGGCGAGGTGGTGAGGAGATATAGGAGGGGTAGGGAGACTAGTTGTCTTGGCATCAACCTCTGGAAAAAGGGACAATCCCCCGGAGGTGGATGCTAGCTTGCTGATGAGCCTACCACATATATAAGGCACACATGAAGCACGTTGTATACTTGGGAATCCTGAAAAATCTTATTGAGTGGCTGGGGGACTTCCTCAAGGACCATAGTCGGTTGGATGAATTCAACGCCTTATGGACGAGCATGCCACCTTACCCAAGATTTACCCCACCGACGAAGCCTTATCAAGCGGTCAGTCAATGTCAGGGGAAAGAGATGCCCAACTTTCAGAAAACAATCCTACCAGCCCTGGTGTCTGCCCTCAGAAATCTTTCTTCTACCCAGGCAGAGCCATTCAAGAAAACATTTCAATGCGTACGGGCATTGGTCGACTGGGGACTAGTCATCCAATATGGGTCTCATAACGAGTTGATGATAGACATGTTGGAAAGCTATCTCATTGCTTTCCATAGGACGAACTTGAAGGATATCTTCAGGAAATATCGCGCGACTAGAGAGACTGACAGACTTGTGGCAGAACGACGGAGGGAATTGCGCGAGGAATATGATATTGAGTTGGTGTAACAGGGCCTCAGTAGCGCTGTTACAAGAGTACCTGTACTACCAGTCAAGCCATACGGCCCTAGGGTAACCGTAGCTTGTTCTTCATCGATGGGTGAAGACAAGTGCAGATGAGACCCTATCTCTATTGGTATGGAGGGTAGGGATCCTGGAGAGCAAGAAGTCTTACAAGTCACTCTATGCGACTGGACCAAAACTAGAGCAGAAGGACGAGCCTGCCAAATAAGAAAGGGTAACCCCAAACATAAGTTACCCTATCTTGGCAGTCAACCTTTGAGGTGCAATAACTTTGCAACTGATGCCCGGAAAATACGCTTTGCCACGTCAGAAAGGATACTGACGATGCTCCAGTCCATTTGAGGTGGTTGAATCAACGCATTACGGAGTTGAGGAAACACTACAAAATAAACACGTTTTAGACCCCCAAAAATAATCTCCGGAGCGTCGAACCGCCGGAACCCTCCTGTTTCAGCCCGGTCTATCTTTGGGGGGAGTAAGAGTACGACCCAAGCTACCAAAGCAAACCTTCGCTTTACAAATACCCAAATCTATTCTAAATACTCTGAATAAGCAATTGCTGTCTGATCAGCTGTTTCCGCTAGTTCCTAGAATCCCGACCCGTTCTTGGCAGAGATTGCATGATTTGACTTGGACGAAAATTCGCCCGCGGTGCGGCAGCAACTCTTCTCTCCCCCCTAATAGAAAATAGTAGCTGTGTTCCTGACTATGGAGAGGCGGAGGGCCAGGGAGAAGGAGAACCTGAATAAGGGCGCGGAACTTCGATAAAAGAACTCGGTTGCCCCAGGTTGGCCTTTGGGGGTAAGGGAATCTTGACTAGCGAAGAGACCCCTTAAAGTTATTAAGTTTCTAGACTACAAATAACGATCAAACCAATAAACTCTATCTTTCCATCGAACGAGTCCAATCATAACTTGTCATTCCCTTTTTATCATTTCTACCTGATCGAAGTCACGGTCGTGCACCATCATAGCACCCCCGTTACAGTTAGCAGGCCTAAACGAGTCTTTAGGTCAAAGACGAAGGGTTATCACAAACCAAAGGCTAAATGTCCAGGCGGAAACCGATGAGATCTTGCGAGCAGAATCCCACTTCAACTTCCCTAAAATAAACCTCATGGACCATTTTGCAGAGCACATTCATGAATTCGTGTAACGGAGCCATTTCAACTGTCTGGTGTATGAGTACATACAGGGCCCGGTTACATGCTGAGAGTTATTGTTAGAAGCCAGTTGCACAGTGACATGCAAGTACCGGCGGTGTGGTTAGCTACCAGCTGTCAGAGTAACTACATTCTGAGCGCTAGGAAGAGGATCTACTCATGGGAGCAATGACTGACGAGTCGGTGCCTCGCCAATGATTAGAAGGCCAGCCAGAGTGAAGCTCTGAGTGCTCGGCGATCCTCTACATCCTCTGAGCATTGGAAGTCCGCCGGTAACGGAAGGGATTATGCCTGGGAAGTCTACAATAAGCGAAAGCTCTACAGCAATGATTAAGCTTACACCTGAGCGGCAGCTCATTCACGCAGGCCCCAGTTGTGTGGCAACAAAGGCTGCAGGTGTTACAAAGGCTTTAACTAAGGGTGGTTGCCTTCGGAACCGGAAGCATTCGCTGACGCTTAGAGAGAAGCGGGGTAGCGATGGTATTGCTTTCTTTCCGCTAGGAGGCAACACCGGAACTTAGTAAGGAAGTAGGAGCAGGGAATAGAGTCCTTTGGAGTATAGGTACTCAGGATCATTCCGGCCCAACTGTCCGAATCCTCATCTTCATCTTTACCTAGAATTATCGGTAGCAGAGCCCTTAAAGATTATTGAGTTCTAGCAATAGTATCTTTGAATAAATCTGCACCTGATTTCTATCTTGCACGGCCGCATCTACTCTATTGGATTCTAGCGATACATAGATAGTCCGCCCCCGTTACAATTCGGGAACATTCCGGACTATCCGACGGAGTCTTGCGAGTCAGCACACAGGGATCAGATCAAAATACTGTATCGTCAGAGCAATCACTTCGATCCCGCGATGCAGATACTTCGGACGTCTAACAGTGATTATACGTTTTCCATTTGCGAATTAAATCTTCTACAAATTGCCCGGGATGGTTTTTTGACCACTGGCCTTGTCGGCAATCTGGACGTCTTAGAGCCACGTCTGAGGAGGAGGATGCAAGCTGCAAGATGGGATCTTAGAGACACTCAGGACGACCCGGCGTTTCAAGCGCAGGGTATCGCGCCATTGGTCCATTTACCAAGCGACATCAGATTGCAGAAGAGGTGGGTCCAATGCCCGGTCAAATTAAAAAATGTCGGTAGTGTAGATATCGTAGGTGCTACAAAGAGATTAGGGTATTACATCCGGTGGTATTTCAGGAGTGAGCTATGCCTTGGATACGAAGATATTCCCGAAGACATCGATAGCTAGTGGGTAAACACATTCAAGCAACTCAACGTACCCGTCATTTTGCACTGCGAGGGTGATGAGAAGACAATTCACACACTTCGTACGACGGGAACGTCAGGTTACAGACTGGGAAATGTGCGTAACGATTGGGTCTGGTTTCATCAAAAGCCAGCTGGCCTAGAGGCTTTGCAGGGTTTATGCCCAGCAAGACTGCTTGCTGTCTTTAATCTCAGGGACTCGGGACGTACGGGGCCCAGACTTCTGGCTGCAATACGATCTTTGAAGCCAGACTTCAATGAAAACCCCAAAGTCGACTACGGGCTAATAAGGGTATCACGCTGCTCAAGCTCTCCTGACGACATATGGGTAGTAAACATAAAAAGCATTTTGGGCCCCACTCATTTGGTGCCTGGGACGACGTCATCTACGAATAATAGATTGTCTTTCAATAGTACGATCGATCTATCGACATACGGATCAACCTACCGAAGCAAGGTTGGACATCGTACTGAGTTTTTTATAATGATACTGACGACATTAACACCAGACAAGAGATCTCAGACAGGTGGAGATCTGACGATAGGTTCTGGGCAGGGTGAATTATCGTGAACGGGGAAGACGAACGGGAATTAGACGGGAGTTCTTAGACATACATCAGCAAAAAAAAAGTCCTCCAAGACGAATTGTACGTCCAGACATACAGATTCGTCTTTTGGGCAAAATGTGTCGTCTTTCCCGTCAAAATTGGCACCCGGCCCGTCAAATTCCCCGTCTTATTCCGGTCATTTTCACGGCTCGTCTTTTTCCCGGGCGTTTTGAGCGTTTCGTCTGTTGACAAAAAATCCCTGTCTTTTTCCTGGGCATTTTGAGCGCTCGTCTTTTTTCCGGGCATTTTGATGGCTCCCCTTCTCACTAAAAAGCCCATTTCACTGTATTCACGTTCTCGACACATGTAATCCGTCTTATATAGCCAATATAAATTACTAATTATCCTACAAAGTAAAGTTTCTACCAAGTAAAACTACCCGTTAATTTGCCCGAGAAGTTGACGAGGAAGCCCTCTCGTCATTCCCCAACGTAAAACTTTCAGTCATTTTGCCTAGGAAGTTGACGACGATGCTCTGCATTTTCGTTGTTCCTCAAAGCAAAGCTGTCCGTCAAACTGCCTGGGAAGTTGACGAAAAAAGTCTCGTCATTTTACACAGCATAATTCCCCCATTGAGTAATGATATTCGGTATGGCGGAGATAGACTCCCGGTCAAAACGACAGAGGATCATAAATTGGGAATATTACCACGCGTTAAAGTGATCCTCCGCACCCGCAGGCCCGAAACGAAACATTCTTGGCGCATAATCGGTGCATGAAACGTTTCTCGGTGCTCTACCCCACCCACTTCCCTACCCCGAGTTGATATGGTATTATCGACTGAGATAAATGAAGTGTTTAAGTTGTATGAAAACATCATTGAACTGGAACTTTGATTTTATCTGCGTCAATTCAACTGTACATTAGGCAAATATCTGAACAAACACCGACTAATGCCCATCGTCTAATGCCCATCGTCAAATGCCCCTCGTCAAATGCCCAGCGTCAAATGCCCATCGTCAAATGCCAGCGAGGTTAGTAAATTGACCCGTAAGTTGACAGGTCAATTGTAGTGTTGATAAACCACCGGTTATTTGTAGGTGAGGTAGATTCGGGAACAAAATGAGCGGCACCCAGGATGCTCTTGATATTGACCACCCATATATCGTCAAAAGCGTTGATGTAGCGAGATACCCTTATCAAGCCGTGGTGGGCGTTGGGCGTACCGTTCAAGTCGGGCTTCAGCGGGAAAATCGCCGCCAACAGCCTTGCCTCTCTCCGTCCCGGATCTGTCAGCTTCAACACCGCCAGTAGAGTTGCCGGGCAAAGGCCCTGCAATGGCTCCAGGTTAGCGGGTTTTTGACGGAACCAGATCCAATCATTCCTGGCCTCCCCTCTCCTGTAATTTGCCGTTCCCGTTGTGTGAAGAGTGTGCACCGTCGTTTCGTCGCTCGCGCTGTGCAAAAGGACGGGCACCTTGAGCTGCCTGAACGTCGTCACAGGCCAGAAATCAATATCCTCGGGAATCTCATCAAAATCCCGCCTGAGTTCCCTCATGAAGTATCTCCGGATGTAAAACTCGAGAGATTTGCTGCTGCCCGGGATATCGACGTTTCTGACGACCGTCAAATCTATCTGGGTTTTGACCAAGCGCTTCTCCACAGGCTCCCCCTTTGGGAAATATCCCATGGGTGCGATCAGCCCCAGTCGAATTGCCGGATCGTCCTGGGAATTGGCCAGCTCGCGCCTTGCGCGGTGCAGGCTCCTCTTTAGATTCGGCTCCAATACCTTGAGAGTTCCCACAAGATCCGATGTGGAGAATCCGTCCCGGGCAATCTGAAGAATATTCAACCCGTGCATGTCGAAGATAAAATCTTGGTTGAACGTCCGGAGTATCTGCATCGCGGGATTGACGCGGTTGCTCCGACGATATGGTATCTTCAGTTGGTGTAATGGGGGCCGACTATCTATGTATCGCTAGAATCCAATAGAATAGATTCGGCCGTGCAAGATAGAAATCAGGTGCAGATTTATTCAAAGATACTATCGCTAGAACTCAATAATCTTTAAGGGCTCTGCTACCGATAATAGGAGATGATTCTAATGATGAAGATTCCGGGCCAGGACAGTTGGGCGGGAATGATCCTGAGTACTTATACTCCAAAGGACTCCATTCTCTGCTCCTACTTCCTTGCTAAGTTCCGGTGCTGCCTTCTAGCGCAAGGGAAGCAATACCATCGCTACCCCGCTTCTCTCTAAGCGTCAGCGAGTGCTTCCGATTCCGAAGGCAACCACCCTTAGTCAAAGCCTTTGTAACACCTGCAGCCTTTGTTGCCACACAACTGGGGCCTGCATGAATGAGCTGCCGCTCAGGTGTAAGCTCAATCATTGCTGTAGAGCTTTCGCTTATTGTAGACTTCCCAGGCATAACCACTTCCGTTACTGGCGGACTTCCAATGCTCAGAGGATGTAGAGGATCGCCGAGCACTCAGGGCTTCACTCTGGCTGGCCTTCTAATCATTGGCGAGGCACAGACTCGTCAGTCATTGCTCCCATGAGTAGATCCTCTTCCTAGCGCGCAGAATGTAGTTACTGTAACGGAGCCACTTCAACTGTCTGGTGTATGTGTACACACAGGGCCCGTTTACATGCTGAGAGTTATTGTTAGAAGCCAGTTGCACAGTGACATGCAAGTACCGGCAGTGTGGTTGGCTACCAGCTGTCAGAGTAACTACATTCTGAGCGCTAGGAAGAGGATCTACTCATGGGAGCAATGACTGACGAGTCTGTGCCTCGCCAATGATTAGAAGGCCAGCCAGAGTGAAGCTCTGAGGGCTCGGCGATCCTCTACATCCTCTGAGCATTAGAAGTCCGCCGTTACAGGAAGGGACTATACCTGGGAAGTCTACAATAAGCGAAAGCTTTACAGCAATGATTAAGCTTACACCTGAGCGGCAGCTCATTCATGCAGGCCCCAGTTGTGTGGCAACAAAGGCTGCAGGTGTTACAAAGGCTTTGACTAAGGGTGGTTGCCTTCGGAACCCGAAGCACTCGCTGACGCTTAGAGAGAAGCGGGGTAGCGATGATATTGCTTCCCTTCCGCTAGAAGGCAGCACTAGAACTTAGTAAGGAAGTAGGAGCAGAGAATAGAGTCCTTTGGAGTATAAGTACTCAGGATCATTCCCGCCCAACTGTCCAAAATCCTGATCTTGATCTTGACCTAGAATTTTATCGGTAGCAGAGCCCTTAAAGATTATTGAGTTCCAGTGATAGTGTCTTTGAATAATTCTGCACCTGATTTCTATCTTGCACGGCCGCATCTGTTCTATTGGATTCTAGCGATACATAGATAGGCCGCCCCCGTTACAGTTACTCTGACAGCTGGTAGCTAACCACACTGCCGGTACTTGCATGTCACTGTGCAACTGGCTTCTAACAATAACTCTCAGCATGTAAGCGGGCCCAGTCTGTACACATACACCAGACAGTTGAAATGGCTCCGTTACACTACTCCCCTCTTCCAGGATCTTGGTCTCCGAGATCTATAACCTATATCTATTGCTTATGCTATGTGACAAAGAAAAGCTTCTTCTGGTGAGGGAGGGGGACGAGAATCTGAAGGAATCGCTACTGGCCAAGAGCTCTCTGGTCTCTGGGCTTTTTAGGATAACTCATATGGAAGTCCCGGAGGGCTTCTTCAGCACTCTTCCTGAGATGTTCCCAGTGTTCCCATGTAATGTCCTCATTCTCATAATCTTCCCATAGCACCAAGTATTCCACCCTTCTCCTCTTCTTATTGACTCGGCTATCAGTTACCTCTCGGACGATCCAGTTCTGTTCTCCTGCAATTTCCTCAGGTTCCGGCGGGGGAACTCTTCTCTCAGGGTCTATTGGCGCTCTATAGGGTTCTAGGAGAGAAACATGGAAGACAGGATGGATTCCCATTTGCGGGGGAAGAGAGAGCTTGTAGGCACGGGTACCAATAGCTTCCAGGACCTTGAAGGGTCCCATTTTCTTCTGATCCAATTTTCCCAATGGCCGCTTTGTTTGCACATTGCGCCGGTCTAGCATGACTTCGTCTCCAGGCTTGATTTCAGATGGTGCCAGGGCATGTGCATCATACCACCGGGCCATCCTTAATCTAGCCTTTCCTAAGCTTGCATTCATAGCCTGCCAGATAGATTCCCATTGAGATACCATGACCTCGCTTGCTGGATTGTTCCATTCAACACCTTCCTTTGGGGCCGGCCAATTGGTCCTGGGTTCATATCCATAGTTGGCATAGAAAGCCGATACTTTGGTAGACTCAGAGACCGCCGAGTTATATGCGTACTCTGCCAAAGGCAAGAGGTCCGCCCAGTCATCCTGTTGATATGAACAATAACTCCGCAAGTAATGTTCCAGGGTCTGGTTAACTCTTTCTGTCTGGCCGTCCGTTTGGGGATGGAAGGAAGTGGACATCTTCAGCTTCACATTGAGGAGGCTCATGAGAGATTGCCAAAAGTAAGAGATGAATCTGCTATCTCTGTCCGAGACTATGTCATCAGGTAACCCATGGAGTCTCCAGACTTCCTTCAAGAACAACCTGACCAAATCTTCCGTCTTGTTGAGTGTAGGAAGTGGGATGTAATGTGCCATCTTTGAGAAGCGGTCCACTATTACCCAGATCTTAGTAAACCCATTTGACTCCGGTAATCCCACAATAAAGTCCATAGAGATGGAAGTCCATGGCCGATAAGGTATCTCCAGTGGTTGGAGCATACCAAACTTCTTGTGTCTTGAGGTCTTATTCCTCTGGCAGCTGTCACAGCTCCGGACATATTCCTCAACATCCTTATCCATGTTGGGCCAAAAGAAGTTGTTTTTCACCCGTTCTAATGTCTTGAACTGGCTGAAATGGCCTGCCACTTTAGAGTCATGGGTATCGGTCAGGATATCCATCTGAAGCGTCTTGTCTTTGGGAATATACCATCCATTCTTGTAGAAGATGAGGCCGTCCTTGACAGACAAGTTCTGGTCCAAGTTTGGTTTCCTTTCAACCAGGGAGCGGTGCAGTTCCTGCCAGATTCCATCCTCTTTAGCTGCCGCAGATAGGCGCTCTAAGAATGTATTCTGCAATTGGTTCACTCTGACAGCCGCTAGCTTAACAGGATCCAAAACCAATTGACCTGGCCTAAAAAACATCTGTGGCTCTGGCCGCAGGGTTTCACTACCCTCTTCAGGGCGGTGATCCCAACGCCTTGATAGCACATCAGGTTTGCCATTCTTTTCTCCAGGTCTGCAGACAACTTTGAAATTGTAGCCTGCTAGGTCTTCGGACCATCTAGCTTGCCGCCTAGTGAGAACCTTGGTAGTGTTGAAGTACTCTAAGTTCTTGTGGTCTGTGAAAACCGTGATCTCATGCTCGCAACTTTTGAGCATATGCTCCCATTCCCAGAAAGAGGCTACAATAGCTCGCATTTCCTTATCATGGATATCATAGTTGATCTCAGCCGGGGAGAATTTCTTAGAATAGAAAGCTACCGGGTGTAGTTTCCCATCTTCCCCATACTGAGAGAGCACCGCTCCTTTGGCAAAGTCACTGGCATCAGTTTCAACCACAGTTCTTCTGCTAGGGTCGAAATGGAGAAGGTTTGGAGCGCTTGTGAATAGCCTCTTCAGTTCCTCAAATGCTTGTTCACAGGCTGCGGTCCAATACCATTTCTTCTCATTTTGCATGAGGTCGGTCAATGGTTTGCAAACTTTACTGAAGCCTTCAATGAAGCGGCGATAGAAGTTTGCAAATCCCAGGAAACCTTGCACTCCCTTAATGTTTCGGGGTACTGGCCATTCCTGAACTGCCTCCACCTTGTCCTCTGACATAGATACTCCCCTTTCCGAGATGTGATAGCCAAGGTATTCCACTTCTCGGACATGGAAGGATGTCTTGCTGATGGAGGCACACAGTTTTGCTTCTCTGAGCTTCTGTAGGACCTTCTCAACCAGCCTTTCATGGTCTTCCTCGGTCTCTGAGTAGATGAGGATGTCGTCAATATAGACAACAACTCCTTCATCCAGTAGCTCTTTTAGCACATCATTGATCATTGCCTGGAAGGCGGAAGGGGCGTTGCATATACCAAATGGCATCACATTATACTGATACAGTCCATAGCGGGTTCTGAAAGTGGTTTTCCACTCATGACCTTCTGCTATCCTGATCAAATTGAAGCCATTCTTCAGGTCTATCTTGGTGAAGATTTTGGCCTTAAACAACCTATCCCTGAGCTCGCTCATGATAGGCAGCGGGTACTTGTCCTTGACAGTGACCTTGTTCAATCCTCTGTAATCAACACAAATTCGCCATGTCCCATCCTTCTTAGGTATGAACAATATGGGCGCCGCAGCTGGGCTGCTAGATCTGGGGATCTTTCCTAAAGACAACTCTTTGTCTAGGTACTCCCGGAGGGCCTTCAACTCTGGAGTGGAACATGGGTAAAGCGGGCCAAATGGGGGAGCGGTACCAGGCAAGAGATTGATCTTCAAATCATTCCGGGAGTGCGGAGGCAACTCCGGTATCTTCTCTTGACTGAATACATCAGCCCATTCCCTATAGCGGAGAGGTATCCTTTCAGCGATATCCCCTCCATCCTCATCATGCCATACTGAAGCGGCCAGTTGATATACTACATCTTCTTCTTCCATCATTTGGTATGAAGAGATGAGTTCAAACTTGATCGCCGCTGAGAGACAGTTCTGCTTGCAGTAGTCACTTCTCCAGCTTATAGTATTGAGTTACCAGTTAATATCCGGGTTGTGCTTCCTCGCCCATGGATTTGGCAGGTAACCTGATATTCCTTCTTCCAAAGTAGCCACCTCCCATCGGAGTGTCTCCTTGTGATCTCCCATGCTCATGTGGACTGGGT